AAGTGTTCTCGTCTATGTATGTCCCATTTGAGGTGTCCCACTCTTCCCAGGAAAATCCTCAAGTGCATCACCAAGAAAAAGTAAATTAATGCTACACTTTTAGGAAGATAGAGATCTACACAGTAGATAGATATAAACTTCACTAACAAAAGCCAGAAAACCCCCAAAACAAAAACCCTCTGTTCAACTTTTTTTTAAAGAATTTATTTGACAGAGAAAGACACAGTGAGAGAGGGAACACAAGCAGGGGGAGAGGGAGAGAGAGAAGCAGGCTTCCTGCTGAGCAGGGAGCCTGATGTGGGGCTCAATCATGACTTGAGCTGAAGGCAGGCTTAACTGACTGGGCCACCAAGGTGCCACAACCCCCGCCCCCCGGACCCCGTTGATCTTATTAAAAGATGTAGACCTAAATGTGCAAATAAGATGATCAAGGTTTTACTCAACAGAACATGTAGATCGCAAACCCATGTGTGGTTCCATTTTTGTAAGAAAAAAACACATCAGCATGTGCGGAGTCTGGCGGACTGCCCCTCCAACCCCCAGTTTTCTGTCCCACCCCCAGCCAGGTGGGTGGCACCTGCACTAGGGGAGGCTGGCGGAGGCTGGGCAGACGGCAGGGGGCGCTGTGGCTCCAGGCGGCAGGAAGGCTTGCGGTTGCAGGCGAGGGTGCTCCAGGGAACTCCAGCCTCTGGCCACCACCCCCTCCTTCCCTGGCCCCTCCTTCCCTCCCGGGGCCCCACCCAGCCTCTGCTGCACCCTGTCCTGGGTTCAACTATCACTGGCCGAGTGGCCTTGGGCAAGCCCCCACCCTCACTTCCTCTGGGCCACGTTGGGGGGGGGGGGCAACACCTTCCCCTGCCCAGGACCCCACCCAGGCCGAGGCCCAGGCATCCTGAATCTCAGGCTTCAGCTACTTACCTGTGTGGCTGGAGGTACAGGCCCAGCTTCTGAGCAGCTCCTTCTTCAAGGGAGGGGCTGACAGACCTGCGACCACACCTGTCCTGGGGCCCCAGCCAGCATGCTGGGCGGCAGTCACCCCCAGCCCACCCCCAGCTGGCTGGGTCTGAGCTCCCACTTGGGCGCCCCCAGGCGGGGAGGCAGGCAGAGCTGTGACCTCCTCCCCTCTGGCTTGGGATCTGTCCTGGTGGCCCCCCCCCAGGCTGAAGATGGGGGTTCCAATACGGGCCCCCAGGTTCGGGAACTGGTGGGGAAGGGGTTCTGGGGAGACTTCCTGAGCCCATACTTTGTTCACACAGCAGTGGGCCTGGGGGCTCTCTGCCCTCCCCCACCAGACCCACCTGGGCTCAGGACAGGGGGAGGGGGGGGGCTGGGTCCCCAGCCCAGCCCCAGGAAGGCACAGGGAGGGGCTTCGGGGAAGTGACTCAGACACACCCACGTGGTCACCTGGTAGGGAAAGGTTTATTAAGATTTAACCACAAAGTTACAGCAAAACAGACCCAGGGAGGCCCTGGGGGGAGACTGAGCGTTGCAGACAGAACTGTGTGCATGACAGAACCGGGCGGACATGCAAGCTCGGTGCACCCAGACACACCGTCAGGCCCCTTCTTAGCACCCAATATAAAAACTTAATATCCGCTATTATTCTTCTTTATAAGCGCTTTTCCTCATAAGACACTGTGTGTCTAACACACACTTACATTGTTGCTGAAATCAGCAAGTTGTTACACTACCCAACTTAATAAGTTGATAAGAAAATTCTGTGGCAAGATCGCAATGGAACTAAATAGGGTTGTTCGGAGATGCATGGGGACTTCGTCCCGTAACAAGAGGCATTTCCAACAAACGGTCCTTCTGCCACCAAGAGACCGTCTTGGTCCACAGCATCAGAGACGCCCCTGCCCACAGCCCCGGGGAGAGCGACGGGACTCAGCAGCCCGAGGTCCGGGAGGAACCGCCGGCTCCGGAGCACGGGCTGGCCAAGAGGCCCTCTCAAGACTGGGGGGCTTGGGCAGGGACGGTGGTGGCTGGCTTCCCGTGAGGGGGTAGGAAGCAGCTGAGGCTGGGCTCCCAGATGTGATGCACGTTCAGGGCCGGGGTGCATCGACCCCACTTCCCAGCAGGTGCTGGGCCGAGTCCACCGCCAGCCGCATGCCCACTCGGGGAGCTTGGGGAGCAGGCCAGCGGCCCCCCCAGGCCCGGAAACAGGAAGATGGATGCCTGCGGATGCAACATGGGGAAGACTGGCCTGTCCCCGGCATGAGCCACCCGCGAGGCCCGGCCACCCGCACCCCACCCTCCCCAGGGTGACAGGAGCCGGACAGCTGGTGAAAAGGAAAGTTCGGCTACGCCTGTTTGGGAGGCGGTGTCTGGTGGGAGCTGGTGTGCTACGAACTTGGGCAGTGACAGGTGTCACCACCTCCAGCTGCGGCAGCCACCGGCAGCCACAGGACAGAAGCTTGCCGTCAGACGTGCTATGGAAGCGTCACGAGGCTGGGCCACCCTGGGGGGCTCACAGGCTCAGCTCAGCTTCCTAACCACGTCCTGCTTCCTGCAGCCCCACAGACAGGTGGGCTGAGAACCCCGTCCCCACACACTGGCACCTGCAAGAACACACCTGAGCACCTCTGAGGGGGGCCTGGCGCTCACAGGGGACTCCAGGGCGGGGACAGACGCTGCGGACCCTTAGCCACCTGAAGGTCACAACGGCGTCACACAGGACAAGGATACAGGTGCAGGGGCGGAGCCCCCCTGCCCCCACACAGGTTCCAGCACAGACCAGGCTTTGGCTGCACAGGTTTGGGTCATCTGAGACATTCACTTCGTTGACTTTTACAGGGAACAAAAGGGCAAGTCAGCCACGTTACCCTGTTTTGGTAATAAGCCCATTTCCATGACACAGCAACCAACTGAACAGAACCCCTCCAGGCTACACTCCCAGCCCACGGACCTGTGCCCATGAGCCCCAGGGCCACCTGTCCCGCGCACCGACACCTGCAGGCCTGCTGCAGAACCCTCAGGCACAGGCTGAAGATGGCCCATTCCGGGACACTCTCCTGCTGGGTCCCCACCAGGTCCGCCCCGGCTACTGCATTAGAAATCACCCCCCCCAGCCCCAGAGCGCAACCGCGTGCAAACCGCCAGGTCCTCCTCGCGGCTCTTAAGACACTCGAGGCTCTCGAGTCAGTGCGACCCTGAAATCATCTCCCCGCATGGGTGGGCTGAGCGTCCCTCTGTGCTCCCACCCGGAGCGAGGGCCCAGGAAGGCAGCTACGGAGAGGGACTGCGATCCAGACCACGAGGCACCTCCCTCTCCCCACAGGTCTGCGCCCCGACCAGACCCAGGAGTAAGGAAGACCCGTCAGAACATCCACATTCAACCAGAATCTGCTGAGGCAGCCCCGCCCCGGGCCGGCTGGTCCTGGGAGGGGCGCGCCTTCCGCTTCCAACGGAGTGTCCTCTGGGGCCCGTGTTATTTCAGAGCATGGTGAGGGGACGGCCGGGACGTCCAGGGTTAACACGCTTTGTGGATGGCGGCCCCACCGTAAGCCCCCTAGTGCCTGAACACCAAGACCTGGCCAGGCCCCAAGCGCCTGGCCCACGCAGCCATGGGGCTCCCACGTCTGGGAGCACCAGCCTCCCCGCCCCGGAGTGGTCCTCCTGACCCAAGACATGTGCTTGCTTCACTGCACACCTGGATTCGGGACTTTTCCAGCCCCCACCCCCGACCCTGGATCAGCTGCTCTCCTGCCACTGGCTTTCTTGGCTGTCGGGAGCAGGCCGGCTACTCAGACCCTGCGATCAGGAGGACCCATGGCGGGAGGAGCCGGGGCTGGGAAGCCACCAGGGGGATGGGCTGAGCTGGAGATAGGGACCTGTCCTGGGGGCCCGCCCAGCTGGAGCAGGAGACTGGGGCTTCGCACCAGGCCGGACAGACTCTCCCTGTCCCCGCCCCGCGTCCACGAGGCCAGCCTCCCGCATGAACACGCGCAGAACCCTCGCTTCCCGGCGCCGGCTCTGGGAGGTCGGCTCTCGGAGATGAGCTCAGAGGTGGAAGGGGACCGACGCGGACCCAAAACGCCACCTGCACCGCGTGCCACCAGCAGCTGCGAGACGCGACGTGACCAGAGGCCGGGCAAGCACACCAAATAGCCAGTCCTTGGAATACACAGAAAATTCAAGTAATTTATTTAAAAACTGCTTAGTCTCCTCTTGAAATATATATATACGTATATATATCTGCTCTAGAATGATATTGCGGCATGATTGTTCATGCATCTGAAAGTTCTTCATTAAAAAAAAAAAACTTGAGGCAGCGAAGTATGACCATCGTCTGTGTCCAGGTGCCATCAGGAAGCTCAGACCGGTCGTTCCAAGTGAGAAAAACAGGCACTGCTCAGCCGTGAGAATGGTCTGGAAAGCACTCCCCAGCAGCTGCGGCGTCTATCAACCGCGTGCCTTCCCCCAAGTCTGCGTTTGGCTGAGATGCTCAGAGCCGAGACCCCACCAGGTCCTGCGGGGGAGGGGACCGTCCTCAGGTCCCAGACACTCACATCACTTCGCCATTGCCCCGACTCCGGCGTCGGGTGGGCCCAGCAGGCCCGAGAGGTCAGAAGAGGTCAGAAGAGGCCGGGGCCGCGTCCCACGCACCCGAGGTAGGCCTGGCGGCAGGTCCCAGGGGCCGAGGCCGCGCCTGGAGCTCTGCCCTCATGATTTCCCAAAAATGGTTTAAACACGAGTCAAAGTGCAATGAAAGAGTCCATCTCCTCTCTGGGGAACTCCGGACAACGATGAGGGGGTCGGGGGTCCAGGCGCAGACATGGGCGTGCACCTGCCGGGGGCCTGTCTGCTCCCTGGGATGCTGCTGGCCGCAGGTGCCTGTCCCAGCCCGCCGTCCCCGCAGGCCACCCCCAGTTGACCCTGTCCCACCCCCCAGGTGCCCTGGGGCCCTCCCGGCAGCACAGGTTCAGGATAGGGATACGTGGAGGGGGGGCGGCTGCCACTTCCCGCTGCCCAGAGGCGGGCCTGCCCCTCGGCGCCATCAGAATCTCTGAGGAGAAAAAGAAAACATGTGGTTTCCTTAAGAAAACCAGTTTTGAGAGAAAAAACATTTTTTTTTCTAAAATAATGATAAAAATACTCTCCAATAATGGCAGCACCAACAGAACGTGAGATCTGACACCTGCAGGCCCCCAGAGGGTGCAGAGAGGCCCAGTGACTGGCCACATGGCTGCTGTCTTTAATCCGCAGACCGCAGGCACCGAGCCACAGCAGGACTTGTGGTTTTCAATTATGACCTTGGAAATGAAAATCTTATTTTTCTCTGGATTGCTAGCGTCTATTGTAAATCTGCCTTACGATTTAAAAACATGCAGAATAATATACCTGCGAAATTAAACAGTTGAAATCAGAAGCTCCTTTTCAATTAAAAAAAAAATTTTCAAATGATTTTTTTTAATCGTGGAAAAAGTAATCAGTGTGGTGTTTCTGCCCAGAGGCCCAGGCCTACCCTAGAGCTACCGCACCCCTACCCGTGTTGTGAAGGAACTCTGCTTTGTGCCGTCACCAAAGCCACAGTGACCAACCCGCCCGCCATCCCCAACCCCCCCCCCCCAGGAATGTGTGTGCACAGGGGCGAGGCTCAGACCATCGACTCTGTCTCCACCAGCCCCTGCAGGCCCTCCTTCCGGGACAGGGTCAGAACGGTGGGCTTCTGGCTGCCGTCCCTGCTGTCACCCGGCGGCCGGGAAGACAGGCCCTTCTGCTCCTCCTTGGCCTCTTCTGACACCTCCGGGTAGATCACCAGGAACGTGGCTGTCAGGAAGCCCAGGAAAGAGCCCACGGAGGCCACCATGGGGATGACGCGCACGGTCCCGACGGCATCCACCACGCCCCCGAGGGCAGACGCCACCAGGATCTGGGAGATGTACACCTGGCAGGACAGGATGGCACAGTCTATGCCGAAGCCGCGCTTGGAGTTCCCGGGGCTGTGCTGGACGTACTGCAAGAGAGAGAGAGCCCGAGAGTGAGGGCCGCGGCGGGGGTCGGCCCATCAGTCAACACCGCCATGGTTTGAATGTGAGCTCAGAAGTCTGGAAACAGAACTTGCCTTCCGTCGGCTGCTTGGCGACCACTCAGCCTGTCTCCCCGACCCCGTCCCACTTCTATTCAACACTGTATTGGAGACTCTGGCCATTGCAATAAGGCAAGGAAAATGGAAAACGTATTAAGGATTGGAAAAGAAAACATAAATCTCATCGTACACGGGTGGTGGGACTGTGTGTGATGTCAGAAGTACCTACGGATGCGCTGGAAGAATTAATAGAAGAATGTGGCATCTCTATGGGTAGAAGGCCTCTGCACTATCAAGTTCGTAACTCTCCCCAAAATGATCTATACAACCAACGTACTTCCAATGCCAAAGCCCAGAAACTGCTCTAACACTCAGATGAAAAGTAAACCGTCAGGAACACCCAAGATGATCTCAAAAAGCAAAGATGAAGGACCCGCGGCACCAGATTTCGGTCTTACTACGAAGCTACTTTAGAACAGAGCACTTGTCTGAGAACAGACCGGCCAGTGGAAGAGGACAGAGGGACCAGAAACGCCACCCAGCTCGGACAAGGACGGCACCGTAGTGCGGGTGGACACCAGGTGGCCCTCATGTGAGTGGCACTGGGTCACACAGCTCCCCGGATGTGGGGAAACGAAGTCACGCTCCTCTACGACACACACACACACCCCCGTATCCCAGGTGGACTGCAGACGCGCACGGGACAAGGGTGCCACCCAATGCCACCGCCAGCAGAGTGCAGCACAGATCTGGCCGATGGTGAGACCGGGAGGGAAAGAGCCGCGTTCTGCAACCACAGGAGGGAAGCACAGGCACGAAGGCAAGGCAGACACTCTGGTCCCAGGAGGTTCAAACACCAGCAAGAGGACGACACGGCGTCAGAGGTGAGGACAAGGACCAGCTTGCTGTTGTTGCTGCGTCTGCGTTACCCTTTCCAGTTTGTTGTCCAAAAACCCACTTACGGTGTTCGCTTACAGTGTGTGTACTTTTATGTAGTCGCGTTACTCCAGCACCACAGCTTATTAAAAAACACGATGTGGTTACTTGGATTTTCATTAGTTTGGCATTTCGTAGGTACCTAATCACCGTGGATTTACTTTGCTTCCCTAATTGTGCAAGAGAAGATTAAACATAGTTTGGGTTTATTTTTCCTTTCTCTGTTTTTTCCTCTCCTTTTAGAGTCTGAGTTTGAGAACCACGGTCTACACCAGCGCTGCGGCCACGGAGCACTTTGAGATGCGGCTGGTCAGAGCCAAGAGGGACTGCTGGCATCAGATACACACTCCCTCCAAGGCTCGGGGAGAACAATCAGAGTTTTACATGGGACGTGCTGAAATCGTGGCGTCTGGGATACACGGTGACCAACAGCACTCGCTGTTACGCTGACTGCACCTGCCTGCTCCATCTCTAAATGTAGCTGCTCAAAACACAGACGGACCCAGGGGGCTCGCGCCCTACTACGCAGGCCAGTGCCGGCCAAGCACCCCCGCCTTGGGGTCTGCAAGGGGACAGCAAGGGGCAGGCAGCCTCCCGCGTGCCCGACCAAAGTCCCTTAAGATGCACCAGAAGCCGCCAGGCCGGCCGGCTCAGGTTGGGAGTTGGGGGGCCGTCAGGTAGGCCACGGAAGGAGCCGGTGCCTCAGACCGACCCAAGTCGGGGGCACTGCAGAACCAAAGACCTGGGGGGGGCCATTTGCACTCCAAATGCCCCCCCAGCAGAAGGTACAGAGCTCTCTGCCTAGAGACGAGTGGAGACGAGCCAGAGGAGTCGGATAATCTGACCTGTGCTACATCCTGGGCTGGTGACCTCGGGCCCCACCACTGCATCCACTGCCCCCGGCCCCAGCCCCCAGCTGTGACGCACCTCCTTGATGTCGTGGTACTGCCCGAGCAGGGCATAGGGGCAGTAGGAGATGCTCATGGAGACGATACCCATGGTGCTGATCATGACCATGGCCACATAGACGTTGGCGAATAGGGCCATCACGGCCGTGCCGATGGAGAAGCCCAGCGTCCCCAGCACGTAGATGACCCTGATGCTCAGATCGTAGTTGTCCAGATACTTCTGTAGCAGCGCTGCAGGGAGAGTACGGCCATGGGACAGTGACCCACAGGGCCGGGAGCTGTATGCTCACCCCACTCCTGTCGGCCACCCCCGCTGCTGCTGCTACCCGGAGCACCCCCGCCCCGCCGCCCCACCAAGTCCCACCTGCCCCCATCACGCGTGTGAGCCCATGGTACCCCGCTCAGCTCCCTGGGGCCCTGGCACCTCAGACGTCAGCCCTCCTAGATTGGGTCCCAGAGTCCAGCGCCTGGTCCCACCCAGTAGCTCCCTGGGGCCTCCTCGCCCTGCAGGCCTGCCTGGCCCAGACCCTTCCCGCCAGAACATCCCGACACCCAGTCTTGACTTAAGATCTCAAATTGTGGCTGGTTTCCCCAGGGGGTAAACCCCTGAGTCTAGAGGGACAGACTCCTGCTCGCCCGTTCTGGCCCAGCGGCTTAATGTCACCTCCCCCAGGAAGCCTCTCTGAGGCTTCACAGACGTGTGACCTCCAGGCTGGCTTCCCGCTGCTCCATTGACCTTGGCCATCCTCAAGTCCAGGCCAGGCTGAAAAAACACCGACCTCCCCCTCTAGGTACATGTAGAGAACAGGAAGGACCCAGGCCAGACTTGTTCAGGGGACCCTGGACCTCGCTGTGCCCCATTCCCGGAAGGTGGGCCTAGGCATGCTGTTCCCAAGACTGAGGCCTGTCACCCCGACCCCCCTCCTCAAGGATGAAACCACACCTGCAGGGAAAGGCCTCTCCTCCATGAGGTCTGCAGGCCCCACCTCCCCCTGTACTCCTGGCTAAGCACAAAAGACCTCTCTCCCAGCCCGTGGGCCCGGTGCCTGCTGTCCCCAAGCCCGGCCCTTGCCAGAGCCCCTCTCTGAGGCGCCCCCAGGGAAGGAACCAGCACAGAGGACAGCCTGCACGTGGTCTGAGGATGCCCAAATCCAGACACATGAGTTTCCATGCTTCTGGCCCTGAGCCACAGCCCTGTTCCAAGTCAGGCCCATCTTCTGGGCAGGACGACCTGGGCCCTGTTTCCCGCCACTGAGCACCCCCGAGGGAGTGCGGCTGCTCCACCTGGAGGTCGGCCTACCTGAGCAGATCGCGCCGGTGGCCGCGTAGATCACCAGGCCCCAGCAGCCCATCTTCATGCCCGCGTTGTAGGCCTGCCAGGCGGTTGAGTTGGAGGGGGCCTGTTCCAGAAAAGAGACTGGGGCTCAGGGCGGGGGCAGGGATCACGTGCCACAGCCTTTGGGCAGAGGAGGGGACTTTCCATCTCAACCGCAGGCGGGCTGTTTATGAACCGCGATGAACGCTGCGCCGACGGGAGATGCAGTCCCGGTAGCGGCTGGGCTCCGCACAGGTGGTTCCAGCCCCTCCCAGCCTCGCCCGGCACCGGAGCCCGGGTGGAGGCCATGGGGCCCAACGTGAGGCAACGCAGCCCCCGGAGACAGCCAGCCGCCGGCCGGGGCACAGAGGCCGATGCCCGCCAGGCCCCGGGGCGGGCACATCCCGGCCCTCACCTTGGGGTCCCCGTCGAAGATGACCTGACCCATGAAGTCGGTGTAGAAGACGGCCTCGGCAATGACGGAGAACCAGGTGAGCAGGTGGCAGAGGCACAGGCGCGTGAGCTCCTTGGGCATCTTCAGCATGGACAGCCACAGCAGCCGCACGGTGGTCTCGCCCTCCCCCTCCTCGCTCTCCGTGTCCCCGCTGGAGGCCGTGGCCCCGCTCTGGTTGCGGTGCCGGCAGCGCTGGCGCTTCTGCAGGTCGTACAGGTCACTCATGCTGCGTGACGGCTTGATGAGAACCACGGCGTTGGCCCGCCGGTAGCGGTAGCGGTGGGAGCCGATCTTGCCGTAGTAGGAGAAGGTGCTGGAGGCCTGGCGGCGGAACATGTGCCTGCGCCGCCGCATGGAGCCAGACGCGGCGGCGACGGGCCTCACGTCCACCCTGGTGTAGCCCACGGGGCCGTCCATTGGCGGGGAGCCGCTGCCGTTGGGGACTTTGGCTTCGGGCGCGTGATTCTCGAGCAGCGTGTCGTCCTCCTTCGCGGTTTCCCTGAGCAGTGAGGCCAGGCAGGGCGGCCTGGCACGGGCGAGCTCCTGGCTGGTGCTGCGGGGGGTGCCGGGGTACGAGCCGTCGTGGAAGATGGAGGGCTCGATGTCGGGCAGGAAGGGCAGCTCGGGCTCCAGGTCAAGCGCGGCGTCGGGCACGTGCAGCACCGAGTCGCTCTTGCTGCGCACCATGCCCGCGCCCAGGTAGTCCAGCGCGAGCTCGTGCTCCGACCGCACCTCCTCGGGGAACAGCCCCGCGCCACCGTCCAGCGCGCTCCCGCGGGCAGCAGGCGGCAGCGTGTCGGCCGCCTCCCCGGCCCGCTCTTGCTGGGGGCTGTACTGCTCCTCGTCGATGCTGAACAGGTGCAGGGCCACTGATACCACGAAGATGATGGCCGCGAAGAAGAAGAGCACTTGGTTCTGAGTCCGGAACCAGGTGCCCAAGAAGGTCTGGGTCCAGTCCAGCCCGCCCAGCACATAGCCGATGGCCCCGCCGAGGCCTGAGCGGGTGGGAGAGACAGAGGGGGCCTGTGAGCAGTGTCAGGCACCTCGACACTCCCTCCCAGAGGGGGAGAACCCAGGACAGATCCCAAAGGGCCTGTGCCCTTAACCACGGACCAGGCCTGGCATTCGTAGCTCTGGCCAAGTCAGGACACCTTTGGGGATGGAAAATGAAGTGGTGGGAAAAACACAGTGAGAAACTCCAGCTGACCCTAGGTTTGGAGCTCTGACTTAACAGAGTCCTGTCCAAGGAATCAGGAGCAGCTATCTGCCAGGATAGGAAACAGATGCTTGCCCGCGACTCTGGGCAGCGCCGACCGCCATCCCTCAAGCTCAGGAAGCTGCCGCTCCCAGCAGATGAGAAGAGCGCCTGAGCACAGGGAGAGGTCAGCGGGGGCTGACCAGCACCATCCAGCACCCTGCCCTCCCGCCCAAGGTGGGGAGGACGGCCATGGGAACAGCCTCCCCCATGCCGGCGGTCGTGCCACGTGCCGGGTGGGGTGGCGGCAGGGGTGCGCTCTCACCGGCAGAGAAGGCGTGGATGTTAAGGGCCATGTCCTGCTCCTCGCTGTCCACCACGTCCAGCAGGTAGGCCCGGATGGGGCCCTCGGTCGCGTCGGCACTGAAATCCAGGACGACCACCCCCAGCACGGTGAGGACAATGCCGATGGGCTGCTGGCTGGGGACATCGCCGAGGGAGAGACCTACCCACACACACGGGGCAGTCAGACCGCAGCTCCTGAGAGCAGACCGCCCCCGGGCAAGGGGAGGTGGGGACACTCTCACCAACGCCAAAAAGTCGCGTGCTCCTTGGCGCGGAAGACAGGCCTTGTGTTTTCCACTTCTGTTATGCGCATGGTTATTTTTTCTCCCGTCCCATTAGCTGCTCCGTGAACCTCAACGCTTACTTACTTTGACGTTTTGCAACTAAAAAAGGATCCTTCCTCCCTAACCTTTACTGGGAAAGGAGGGGCATGTTGGGAGCACTAAGTAAACATCTAGGAGAAAATGTGACGTGTGACACGTGCAGTCACACACACATATGCACACGCACCACCTTGGGGTTCAAGGTCGGCCCTGGGACCAGGGTCTGCGGGGGCGCTCCTATGGCGCTCCCTGAACACGTGATGGGTCTCCCTGGTCCGTCCACCGTGGTTCCACATCTTCCAATGGAAGACTTTGAAAGCTGTCCTCCTGATGCTACCCAGTGAGCATGTTTCTTTTCCAATTAGCCTTTTCCAAGGCTAACACTTACAACATTTTGTACATCAGACTGTACCCGAGGCACCCAGCCAGAAACATGGGCCAGCTGTGCAGAGGGCTACAGTCAGACCCCAGATGACAGCCCACCCCAGACCACAGGAAGTACTCATGACCTCCCCTGGGGTCGTCAGGCGCCTTCTCGGAGCAGCCCAGGTTCCAGAAAGGGGCGGCTCTGCAGCGCGATGGGAACGGCCCTATCTCCAGAACGATGCCTCCCGCAGCAGGCTGTAAGCACCCAGAGGAAGCAGCGGTCACACGCCACCTCTCACTGGCCTTGGGGAGTACGCCCTGAGCCCAGAGACCGAACCGGTTCCCCGACGGCTGAGCTAGAGCTGGGTCCTGAGACCGGCAGGAATCCTGTGCCCACAGATGCGGGAGGTGGGGTACAAATCCCGGGGCCCAGAGCAGGTTAGCTGCAGCACGGGAAGCACAGGGGAGGCCAGGAGAGGTGTGAGCCCGGGTAGACACAGGGTGCCACAGCCAGCCCACGTGCAGGCGCAGCCTCAGAGAATGCCACAGCTGTCTCCCCGGGGGACAGTGCTGCGAAGGGACACCAGCTCCGTAGGGTGAAGGGGACAGGCCGAGAGCCAGCAGCCTCGAGCCCACAGGGTTGTGGAGAGCGCCCCCCGCCCCCGGACTTCCGCCAGCGGTTGCACTGCCCTTCCCGGGCCCCAGCCCGGCACCACACAGGCCTCTGAGAGTCCGAGGGGCTCTGGGCCTCTCTGTGAGTGTCCAGCGCACTTGACGTCGACCTAGGCCACGTGTGTGCACGTCAGAACACAGATGAGGCCTCGATCTTAAAAAGCCGTTGCCAGAAAACAGGTTTTGTTTCTAAGAGTTCTGATGAGCTCCCTCGGGGCAAACCCATTTTCCCAGGTAAAGCTGCTTGACTTAAAAACAACACAACAAAGCACGAGCACACGAACAGAAAAACAAGCATGGAACCGGGTCTGGACACTTTCGATCCCACGTCTGAGAAAAGGAGAAAGAAGGGGGGGGTTCTGAAGCCGCGCTGGAAACAGGACGTGCTGTCGGACGCGCGGGGCAGACAAGCGGGTCACAACAGGAAGGGCTGCCCTGTGAACACGTCCCCACGGCGCTCCCACGTGGGGCCCGGCCTCAGCCCCGCAGGGAGCGCCCGGAAGCCCCGCGCCTGCCCGCCGGGCGCCGTCGAGAGCACGGCCCCTCCCGCCGGGACGCGGGGGGACACTCACCGATGGCCGAGCCGTTGAGGAAGAGGGCCACGCCGAAGAGCACGCCGACGCACAGGGCGAGGATGAAGGGCCGCCGTCGGCCCCAGCTCAGCGTGCAGCGGTCACTGGCGGAGCCGATGATGGGCGTGAAGATGAGGCCGAGGATGGGGCTCAGGAACCAGGTCAGGCTGTAGTACTGCTCCGGAAGGCCTGGGGCACAGGGGGCGGGCGGTCACGGGGCGCGCATGCGCACGCAGACACGCGCGCCCCTGGGTCCGGCGGGGACCCCGCAGGGTCTGAGCGCCCGGCTCCGAGCCCGGGACATCTGACACGCACCCGACGCCGACTGAGAAGCCGGAGGCCGGCACCTGGGCCTCGGAGGTGTACCCGGCAGCCGGGCGCCCAGTGAGACAAGGGGCACTTGCTAGAGCCGGCAGACCTGGACCTGCCGCGTGCAGGGAGACCGAGCACCCGTGGCACTGACCACACTGACCAGGGCCCGCGTCTACAGCTGCTCAACGCGGCATCGCAGGCACCGGACCCAGAACGGGGGTAGTGGTGAGAAACACCCCCTGCCCCCGCGCCATCCTGGGCCTCTTGGCCAGAACAGATGACAAGAGTCTCACTGAGGGGCCGCATGTGCTCAAGGACCCCCGCCATGGGCTTCTATGAGGGCAGGGAGCGCCCCCGAGAGGGGAGGCATGAATAGGTGTTCGGCTGGAGCCCAGGTGTTCCCTCAGGCACCGGATACCGCTCTGCTCTAACCTCCTAACGGCCCAGGGAGGTGGGGATTGCCGTGCCCGTTGTCCGGCAGGGGAATGTGACGCTCAGAGAGATTAGGTAACCTGCACAGGGTCACACAGTGACAAGGTAAGACCACCCTTGCACAAAGCCCGTGCCCATTGCCAGGGGAACGGCACACTCCATACACCAGAGCACTACACAGTGGCCGGGGGTCCCGGCTGCAGCTGGGCATGGCCAGCCACACCCCACACATGCCAGCCATGGCAGGGCACACGCCGTGGGCTCCGTTTACATGAGGTCTGAGTGGCTGACAGAGCTTCTGCTGGCAGAAGCCAGCGCAGTGGCAGCCCACGGGAGGGGTGGAGGCTTTGGGGCTTGTGTGCTCTCTTCGTGATCTGGATGGGGGTCACTAGGGACTGGCCACCCTGCTGCAGGCTGCCAGTGTCCTGCGTCCATGAGACATTGACTCAGACGACGACAGCGCTCCGCACACCAGCGGTCCCCGGCCAGCACTCTGCCCAGCCATGGGCCCTGGGAAATGGGGGGCTGGGCTGTGCCCCTAGGAGCCACACCCATCTGGCAGAGGGAAGCACCCCCTAAAACACTTAGGCATGCAGTCCACAGTTCAAGGCATCGGCTCTGACATCTATACCACACGGAGCCCTAGGGAAGGTGGGGTGGGTTCCTACTGCAAGTCACCAGACGGACAGATGTCTCAGTAAATGAGCGGCCGGCTGAGCACGTCCCCGGTGCCGGCTCTGGTTTCTCCCACAGGCCTGGGGCCTCCGCCCTCCTCAAAGGCAGGCAGAGCGGAGAGCAGCAGCCACACGGGCAGGGCCCACGCTGTCCCTGGGCAGGAGCCCATGTGTAGCACCACGAGCCTCGGAAAGGACCAGTCACATGCGCGACACGGTCCCTGTCAAAGAATGGAAAGTGTTCCTGACCCCGGGTACATAGACTCTTACTTTCTTTGGAGCTTTTAATACGGCACAATTTTACCAATAAACACTGCTTGGCCGGCGGGAAGACCCTAACCGTCGAACCCTCTGTTTCACCCATCCTCGGGCAGCCCGTGAACCCCTCTCCAGTCCAGCTCTCGGCTGTGGCTGGTGCTCTCCATCCCTGGACTGCTCTCACCCGCCAGGCCTGTCTCCACCCACCCTGTGACACCCACCCTGTAACGTCAGGTGTTCCCACCAGGCCCACGCTCTCCAGTGAGAGGACAAGTCTCCTCCAACGGCCGCGCCCCTAGCCCCCTCCTTGGCCACAAGCACTCGTGCCCAGCAGCACCCGCCGCGGCTCCAGGCTCCCGCAATGTGCGCGCTGCTGGTCCAGTGTCGGGGACCCGTGCACACGACCAGGGGGGACCTGTGGGGCCTGCCTGGGGGTGGGGCGGTGAAACTTCGAATTAGGCTCACCTTTGCCTTATGTAGCCCCGGGCCCTGTGTCAGGAGCACACACACCCCCGTGGCGCTGCCTCACGGCTCCACGCTTATGTGCCACGTTACTGTCCGCGCCCCCGCCTTGTCTCTCCGCACCTCCTGTCTCGGCCTGCTTTCGGCCAACTTCACGGAATACTGTCTCACGCTCTGTTTTAATTTACACTTTGGCTTTTCAGCCTTATCTTGCAAGGGTCTGCTCGGGAGAGTTCGTTACACAGCACTCTCCAGTCTGGTGCAGAAGCCCAGCACGCGAGCAGGGACCTCTGGAGGCCGCTGTCCTCACCCCTGAGGCTCTTCACGCACGCGTCAGGCACGTGTCCCATCTAGAGGGCGTCAACTCCGTCTGTGCGACAGTCCTTACTTTAAACCGTCACGTTTAAGGGAATTAAAATGAAAACTCCCTTTGTTTTTGCCTCCCACTGAACCATGTCTCCCTCCCTTTCTGAAGACCCGAGTGTTCACACGGTAGCCCGTCCCTTCTGCCTCTGGGCTGTCTAACTCCTTCAGCCTTCCTTCCAGCAATCTGCCAACGGCAAACCCGCTTGTTATTTTACCCAAAATCTCTTTCTCTTCTATTCTGACAGAGTATTTTTGCTGGATAAAGAATTCTGGGTTAACTCCTCCTGCAGCCCCCTCTGGAGCAGTGAGGCGGTCACTCCCATTTCTGCAGAGAAGGCGGTGACATTTCACGTGACTGGAGAGGCCAATCGTCTTCCTCTCCTCTGGGTTCTTTCAAGATTTTCTCTTTCTTGTTGGCGTTTAGCAGTTTGACTACGATGAACCTAAGTTAAGTTTCCTTTTTCTCCTGCTTGGACGCCACTGAGCTCCATGAAGCTGTACCTACCCGCCTTCCAGCACACGCAGGAAACTTCCTGTTAGTACCCCAACTTTCTCCTGCCCCCTTCTCTAGCTCCGCTCCTCTGGGACCCCCAATCGCAAGAGCATCCGACCCGCGGACACTGCTCCACCGCATCCTGTGGCCCCGTCCCTTTCTGGTCTCCGCCTTTGTCCCCTCTGTTCTTCATCTCTGCCAACCAAGCCTTCAGTGGGCTGCGTCTTACGTCAACCCAATCTCCCCTAATTCTCTCACATATTACATTTTTCAGTCCCAGAATTTCCATTTGCTTCTTCAGCAGCATCTCTCTGCTGAGCTCTCCCACTTCCCACTGTCACAGACTCGAGCACACTTACACACGCCTGACGACTACAACGAGTCACCACCTTGGAGTGAGGGTCACGTTTTCGGCTTCCCTATTTCTTCTAACACCAGTAAGCTGTACCCTTCACACCGTAAATGACGTGTTGTAGACACTCTACGTTCTGCTACATTCCTTTGAAGAGTGCTGCGATTCTCATTTTAAACACATAACTTAGCTGGACTCAAAACCCTCCCTGCAACAGGACCCGGGGAAACCTGTTCTGTTCTTTCTGCTTTTATCCGAGCTCCAGCACGCAGTGTAACAAGCAGCGCCCTCTGGCCCCCATGATACAGTCGCTCAGCAACTGCAGACGGGCGTGCATGCCCCACTGGCTGGTCTTGAAGGTGGGGTACACCGCACTCCTGGGCAGCAGCTCCAGTACCCAGTCCCACTGAGCCAACGGGCAGAGAGAAAGCTGCATAGAGGAGCTCCTTAGAGACGTGGGCTCCGCTGGAGGGGCTGCGCTCCGTCATTCCCAGAGCTGCGCCCGAGGCTGAGAGGCTCCGGGGCTGGTCACGGAGAACTGCGTGTGCAGGATCTTGCCTAACTTCTGCAAACACCCACACTCCTGTCTGAAGTGCGAGGCTCCACATGCCAGAGGCAAGCAGCAGAAGACAGACTGCCGGGCGCACACCACCACCTGGGAGCAGCCAACGCCTGCTGTGAGACGGGCCCTGACCCCGTCCCACCGTCCGCTAAGCCACGGCCCACCAGCACCCAGCTCACGGGAGGCCAGGACGGTGTCCCTAGGAGTTCTGGTGCCAGCAAGTGTGAGACACAGCACAGTCTTCCCCAGCATAGGCAACAGCATGGATGGGACTTGAGAAGCTGGCCGTCAAGGGGCCCGGGAAGGAAGCCATTCCACTGAAGGGGCCCTCTGGAAACCAGGGTTTCCCATCCCTCTGGGAGAGGGCTGCCAGCATGGGCAGCAGCCTGGCACTACCGTGGACGGCTCCCCGTGCCCTCTGGATGCCCAAGAATGTGCCGTGGTGGCTGCTGAGCCCAGGGGCAGGCTCACCCTGTGGCCCGCTCTCCCGACCAGGACAGGTGGGTCAGGCCTCCCATCTTCTCTCTGGTCCCCACTCATCATCCCCCGCCCCCAACCAAACGGCCAATCAATACCCAGCGTGATCTCCTCAAGACACGCCTGGCTGCAGCACTTGATGGCCAAGAGCCTTGCCGGTGTCTCTGGACTGGGACACTCGGGGCGGGAATGCTGGGCTGGATCCTGCCCCGTCACACGTCATCAGAGCAGACTCACCGGGCCCAGCAGCTACCAGGCTTCCTGGCCCCGTCTGTCCCCTCTAACTGGGCACCCAAAGTGTGCACCCATTGAGCAAAGTGCCCCCAGAGGGGCCCCCAGAGCAGAGGCTGAGGTAGGCGGGAGCGCGAGGGAGGGGCCGACAGGACCCACAGCAGTGCCAGCCCAATGGTGGTGTCCCGGGTCCTCCCGAAGGTGAACCCAGGGCTCCCCCACAGGAAGCCCCATGCGCCCCAGCCAGGCGGCCTTGGGGAGGGGGGACGAGCTGGGGATGGCGGAAGCGACATGGGGCAGTGGCTTTCTTTGTCCAGCACATTGGCAAGAAGCATCAGCATTTCCCATCACGTCCCCCAGGCAGCCCAGGGGTGAGCGAATCTGGGTTCCCCGCTGCCGCGAGGCCGCCACTGGGACACCTCCAACAGCGCATTTCCCAGCCCGGCTCTCAACAAACAGCACGCCGCCCGTAGTAAATAATTTTTGTTTTCTCCCGGGCAGAAGGCGAACAACAATGGTGGGACCAGGAAGGCTCCCCGTTCACAGGAAATGCTCAGTGTGTCAGCATCG